AATTAGAAGTCTGTGCAAGACACCTACCTCACAGGAGACCTGTACAGTCTCTACAGGTAAGGGTACACTAACTTTCTAAAACAGGAGAGAAGAGGATGCTCCTACTGGCAATGGTGGCTTGCCAGAATTTAGGGTTTGATTATCTCAGCTTCATCAGAATCTGCTCTCATTTTCGGAAATCCAGTCTTTCATAATCGATGCCCTAATATTAACCTAAAAGACGCAGTGAGAGCGGGGATTCATCTTGCATTATTATTTAATCAACTCCAGGATTAGATTTGGAGTTTGGTTTTCAGAAATCCTGATCCTGCGTATAAACAGGTTTGGGGGAAGGTGAACTCAGGTTCCCTTTCAAGTGGTATAGTTTAGGGGATCGTAGAGAAAGTGAATAAATGGGTAATATAAGGACATAACAGCAAAGATTACAGGGTGTTTGCCTCATGGTTAGAATACATGTTACATTTGTTTCAAAAACTTTTAAGGACATTCATATTTATATGAATTTACACCTGGATCTTACAGTTTTTGTATAACTGATAAAGACAATGGCTTCAGTTAATATAGGAAGTGCATTTAAATTCTGAACAAATTTTGCCAAATTTTGATGAACTGCTGTATAGTCTGTGTTTCCAAACAAAATTTAAATTTCTTCTTAGTAGTGATCCAGTAACTTCTTATTCTTCTGAAAATCTTCTTCCTGCTTGATTTAAACTCTGATCCTTTTCCATTTGCTTCATTATTTCATTTATTTTACCTGTCATAATCCCTGGATAGACACATTGGCCTCTACTACCCACCCTCCCACAGTGTCTCCTAAAAAGATTTTGAAGACAGTTAATTATTTAGGTAAATGCATCTGTAATAAAGTCCTTGAGATCTTTTAATGAGTTTGAATCAAATGTTGAAATTTTGGGGGGTGTCTGCGTGGCTCAGTCATTTAAGCATCTGACTCTTGATTTCAGCTCAGGTTATGACCTCAGGGTCATGAGGTCTGGCTCCAAGCTCAGCAGGGAGTCTGCTTGAGATTCTTTCCCTCTCTCTCTCTCTCTGTCCCTCTCCCTGCTCATTCTCTCTCTCTGTCTCTCTCTCTCCCTCTAAAATAAATAAATAAATCTTTAAAAACAAAAAACCCAAATACTGAAATTTTCTATTCTGGCCAAACAAATGTTTGGTGAGATGGGAGATAAGATCTGCATGTATAATTCTTAAATAGTTTAAAATTAAAATTTCTGATTTTTATTAGTTAATTAATTCTAATTAATGTTAATTTCTTCTTTGGGGAAATGAAATACAGAATTATCAGACACCAGAACCATAATAAAATTCATTCAGCATCTATTACTGTGCTCCTTAAGTTTCCACTTGAAAGCTCATTTAAAAGTCATGATAGATTGCTTTTTTTCTTTTTTGATAAATTGCTTTCTAATGCATCTGTGAGAAAATTAAAATTCAATCAGTGTTTAAATTGTACGTGACCATTAAACTATGGGTTCAGCTCTAGAGAGATTTATCTGAGTTTATCATTATGCATGGCTTCTGTTGTGGTCGTTATCCTTGGAGCAAGGACTTTTCCTGCACTTGTCTGTTGTTGAACGCTAAGTGCCTGCCCCAGCTTCACCACTCCCTGAACACATATGAAAGGAAGGAAGGCAGGAAGGTATTTCCCTCTTACACAGATTTTTCTCAGAATATGGTGAGTTTTTGCCAACATAATAGTGAACATTCATAAAGTGCTTTGAAGTTTATCAGTGTATTCCCATGCACATTTTTAAATATAAATTTTATAACTTTTTTAACAAAATAGAACACTGATTTATTAATTTATTCTTAAAATATAACTATTACATGGGCCGAAATATTTAGATTCAGTCAGTGCATTCTCTTTACAGCATAGTTACCATGGGAATGGAGATTATAATCAGAAGGTGATTAAATAAACCTGGGGATAGAACAAGGGGCATGAACTGGATGGTTTCCTTCCTATTGCCAGCCAGCCGGGAAAGAGGTGCATCCACTTCCGCTGGAGGATGGAGCTACTGAGCCAAACATCCAAGTTGGTCCACAGGCACATTTTCTCCTGGATTGTGCCTCTGTCATACCTCTTCCCAATATTCCGATTTCAAAATTGACCACCCCCCTTCTGTTATCAGAATCTTTAACTTTAGTGCGCTGTGAATTGTGTAAGACTGATGAATTACAGACCTGTACCCCTGAAACAAATAATACATTATATGTTAATTAAAAAAATAATACTATTGATTAGGCTGCAGTCTAGTACTCTCTTCAAACTTTTACCCTGGAAGACACTTCTTCTCTTGTGATATCTGTCTATATCTGAGCTCATCTATTGTGTGTTGCTTTTATTAGTGTAACTCAGTTGTGAAGGGTCCTCTCTGCTACTTCTAAGAGCACTTGCATTATAGTATCTGTGGCGGTTTGTACCCAAGAATACCTGCATTTTAAATATATTAACACATATTTCAACAAGGACTTATTGTCTGGCACTGTGCTGAGCACTTCATGTGTATTTTCTTTCTTTCTTCTTTTTTTTTTTTTTTTTTTGGAGAGAGTAGGAGGGGGGTGGGATGGGAAGAGGCAGAGGGAGAGGAAGAGAGAGAATCTTAAGCAGGCTCCATGCCCAATGCTGAGCCTGATGCAGGGCTTAATCCCATGACCCTGAGATCATGACCCGAGCCGAAGTCAAGAGTCAGATGGCCAAACGACTGAGCCACCCAGGCGCCCCTTCACATGCATTTTCTCATGACAACCTATGTGACAGGCAGTTATTTATTCTCATTATTATGGATGAGGAACCTGAAACACAGTGAGTTAAGAAACCTCCCTAATGTCACACAGCTGGTAAATTTAGGTGCTAACTCCTGCCTTTCTAACACCAGGCACTGCGGTGTCATTCCTCTTTCATTCTTACATATATGTATGTGTATACACACACACACACACATACACACATATACACACATAACTTAACCCAATACATTACATACATTACAGCATTCAATTCAGGAATCTTTCTCTAGAAATTTATCTAAAGTAAATTATGCAGGATAAGTAGACGGATTTACTTAGAAGGATATTCGCCACAGGATTGTTTTGATTTAAAAAAATGAAGATTAACTAAATGTACAAGAAGTTTGAATAAATTGTGGTACCTTCAAGTACTATGTATCTTAAAAATAGTAATGAATCCTAAGTTTATTGAACTAGGAAGATGTTCAAAATTATGTATTAAGTGAAAAATTCAAGTTTAAATCAGTATATGGAAGGGTGCCTGGCTGGCTCAGTAGGTAGAGTGCGCAGCTCTTAATCTCAGAGTCATGAGTTTGAGCCCCATGTTGGGCGTAGAGATTGCTTAAAAAAAATTAAAACTAAATTAGTACATGGAGTTGGATCTTTTCTTCTTTAGTCTCTTCTGCAGCCAACTTTATTGAGATATAATTGCATCATAACATTGTATGAGTTTAAGGTGTGCAAAGTTATGATTTGATACACATATATATTATGAGAGGACTACCTCAATAAGCTTAGTTTCTACACCTCCATCACCTCACATAGTTACTTTGTGTGTGTGTGTGTTGAGAATATGTAAGGTCTACTCTCTTAGCCACTTTCAAGTGTATAATACAATCTTGCTCACTGTACTCACCATGTTGTACAGCAGATCCCCAGAACTTATTCATCTTATAACCCAGAAGTTTGTCCTCTTTAACATCTCTCCATGTCTTCCACCCCCTCCTCCAGCCCCTAGCAACCACCATTCTACCATCTACTTTTTGAATTCAACATTTTAAGATTCCACCTATAAGTGAACAAATACAAGGAGTATTTGTCTTTCTCTGACTTGTTTCACTTAGCATAATGCGTTCAGGGTGAATCCAGTTCCTGCAAATTGCAGGATTCTCTTCTTTTTCACTGCCAAATAATATTCCATTGCATCCATATACCACATTTTATTTATCCATTCATCCATCAATGGACTCTTAGGTTATTTCCATATCTCAGCTACTGTGAATAATGCTGCAATCAACAATGAATGTGGGAGTGCAGAAATCTCTTTGAGATAGTGATTTCATCTCCTTCAGATATATACCCAGCAGTGAGATTGCTGGATAGTATGGTAGTTCTACTTTTAATTTGTTTGAATAATCTCCATACTGCTTTCCACAGTGGCTGAGCCAATTTACAATCCCACCTTCAGTGCACAGGGGTTCCCTTTTCTCCATATCCTCACTAACACTTGTTATTTCTTATCTTTTTGATAACCATGTTAAGCCAAATGACCCCCTCTTCATTTCCAATCCTGGAGGGGCCCCGTTTGACTCCAAGTCCAGAGAATCTTTTTACAAAGGACTCTCCCTAATTATCGGGCAGTTCTATTACATTTCATCGGAACTGCCAAACCCATTCAAAAGTACTGGAGGGCATTGATATGGTTGCTAGATGTGGAAGAAATTCCCGCCTAAATACCCAGATACTCCACTTAGGCCCCTCTGCCTCTGTTGCCCCACGGGGGTCACCCTCACACAAACTTGCCCTAATAAAGGGGGTCCCCACTCCCTTTCTAACAAATCCCTGACCTACTTTTGCCCCTCGTGAGAATACATCGGCAAACCTCTGCTGAGAGTTATGAAATCTCAGAGTTCCTGGGCACTTGATCTCTGGACAGCCCATCTCTAAACTGCAGGGCCTAGAACTAGCATTCTCCCAGCTACACCCCCCTTCTACAGGCCATCCACTTCCCATGCAACTGCCCTCTAACTGCTCTGGCCCCAACTCAGTCCCTGATACTCCCTCTGCCCCCTTCCTGACCTGCCAGACCTGCCCTCCTCCCGTCCCCACCCACTTGGCCGCTCTGCTCCCTGGCGCGACTCGGCACTGAGAGTCCCGGAGAAGACGCTGCGGTCGGCACCTCCTGTGTTCAGGCCTTGGCCTTTCCGAAACTCTCGCCTTCCTCTCCTGAGTCTTCTCCTTCAGTTTTGAAGCCGGTGGCGTCGCGGCCGCCCTGCCAGGCTGAGAACGCTGGGAGTGAAGCCGGTCGGGAGCGACCCAGGTTTCCAGCCGGAGCTGAGCGGCGCGGGCTCCAGACTCGCCGTGGTCAAGTTCACCATGCGAGGGTGTGGACCGTCTTTAAGGATCGCCCCAGCATTCAGTTCTATGAGTAATAAGTATCCACAGGCAGTTTTCTTGGAAGTTGATGTACATCAGTGTGAGGGGACAGCTGCCACCAACAATATGTCAGCAACACCTACATTTCTGTTTTTTCGAAACAAAGTGAGACTTGATCAATATCAAGGAGCAGATGCTGTTGGATTAGAAGAAAAAATCGAGCAGCACTTGGAAAATGACCCTGGAAGCAATGAGGACACAGATATTCCAAAAGGCTATATGGATTTAATGCCTTTTATTGACAAAGCTGGTTGTGAATGTCTTAATGAAAGTGATGAGCATGGATTTGACAACTGTTTGAGAAAAGATATGACCTTCTTGGAATCTGATTGTGATGAACAGCTGCTTATTACTGTGGCATTTAATCAACCTGTTAAGCTTTATTCAATGAAATTTCAAGGACCAGATAATGGTCAGCGTCCTAAATATGTAAACATTTATCAATCTGCCCCGATCTATGGATTTTGAAGAAGCAGAAAGAAGTGAACCAACTCAAGCTCTGGAACTAACAGAGGATGATATTAAAGAAGATGGCATTGTCCCACTTTGTTAAGTTTCAGAATGTTAACAGTGTAACTATATTTGTTCAGTCCAATCAAGGTGAAGAAGAAACAACAAGAATTTCGGATTTTACTTTTATTGGTACCCCAGTCCAGGCAACAAATATGAATGACTTCAAACGAGTAGTTGGCAAAAAGGGAGAAAGCCACTAAGGTACAAAAGACACTGGAAGACCATATTGCAATCCGATCTACAGCTCCTGGATAATTGCTTGATTCTCATCCCAGACTGTCAATATTCCATTCATTGCCATTACCAATAAATCATTGCTTTTGTTCGGATGGTATCACTAGTGTTTTTGTTGTAATCTTGATACATGCAATTGTAAATAAAAGTCACTACTTTTGCCAAGCTTAAAAAAAAAAAATGCGGTCCAGGACTGGCAGCCATCTCAGCCCCTACCCTAGGAAGTTGGTGGCCCCCAGGGCTTATCCTACCTCCTGGTAATAGTCTCTCCTATACCACTCTGGTGGTCCACTGGGACAATAAAAATACACGGTCTCTTTGGCCCGATTAGATTTGGGGGTCCAAGTCACTGCCATTCCAGGCAGTCCCTTCTAAATTCATTCCCAAAGAGGGAGCTCTTCTCCACACTGGGCATTGCCAGTAAAATAACCAAAAGTGTACAAATCCATTTTGATGCAAATATTGGTACCACTTGCCTCAAACAGCTCCCTCTGGTGGTGGCCCCCTTGACTCTTTCTTTCCCATTACAGGCATGGATGCACTGACATGGCACCGTATGGAACAAGCCCAAGTTCTTGGCCTTCCTGGTAGAACCCACCAAATGGACACTGATGCCTCTTTCTCCTCCAGTCAGGATGGTAAACACCCTCCAATACCAACTTAAACAGAGCACTGAGGACCTACACCCTGTTGTTCAAAATATGCTTGAGACAGAATCATTAAGCCCACAGTCTCCCCTTTCAACAGCCCCATTTAGCCTGTACTTAAGCCAGTACCACTGATTATGGAAACCTCAGTGCTGTGTCCTCCCTATTAACAATCCAGTTCCTCTTGCTGTGGAATTCTGATGGAAGACCTGCAACCGGCCCAGGGAGTGTCCGGTGCAGTCATTGTTCTAGCTAATGTGGTCGATTCTGTTTTCATCACAGAGAAATCCCAATCTGATTTCACTTTTGAAGGGGCTTAATACACATTTATGCAGCTCGCAATGAGATAAATAGCCCTGCCATAGCATGTCACTTCTGCTGCCAGGATTTCAATACCTTATGATTGGGAAATGGCCCTTTGGAGCATTATATAGATGACATTATGCTGAGTTGTCCCTCTGATGGAGCGGTATGGGCAGTGTGGCTGGGAAACCACGCCCCACAAGATCCAAGGCACAGACTCACCTGTTAAGTTTCTGAGCATCATTTGGTCGTCTAGGTGCTGAGATTCCCTTGGTCATCAAACATCAATTGCTCACTACTGAACCACTCGCTACACTCAGATGACATAACACATACTAGGCCTTTTCATGTTCTTTCCTAATTCTTTGCCCTGTATATGAAATCATCCACCATTCTTCCAGCTTCCATGGGGGTGAGGCCCAACAGTGCACTTTAGAAGCTGCCTCGTGGGCATTCCAGCAAGCCTCAACTTTACTCCCACCTGGCTCTACATCCTGAGTTGAGTCCTTGGTCACACTTGACCATACCTCCTGGAGTCTCTGGACCAAACATGAGTCTATCTGACTTCCTATGGGGTTTTAGACTAAACGCCCACCTCAGTGGCAGCCCAGTATATCCTTCTTGAGTGCCAACTTTTGGCATCCTATTGGGTTCTTTTGGAAACCAAGCTCCTACCCAGCCCCCACTCATTACTACTCTGTATTCAAGTTCCTACAATGCCCTGGGCTAGACATGCCTCCCAGCAGAAGCTCAGCAAAGCCTCTGATGCCTCCTTGGTAAAATGGAAATTTTACCTTCAGGACGGGGCTCAACCTGACAACAAAGGTCTTTCCAAATTACAGGAGGATGTGACTTCCACCATGCTCAGCCCCTTGCCTGAGAGCCTTGTGGAATTGGGAATGGTACCCACACTTCTTCCTCTTCTGGCTACTTGGTGAGCCCCTCGGAACCAACTGTCTGAGATGGGAGTCAGTGTTCTTCACTGATGGCATCATAAGCAATGCAATTCACCTCAGGCACCTCTCTGGTAGAGCAGGGCACTCCCAGCTCAGTCCAACTGGTGGAATCTGTGGCTGTTCAACTAGCCCTTAAGAGGGTGGCCTTTTGTAGACCCACATTTTCACAGACTCCTGGGCTTTTGTTAATGGCTTTGAAGTTTGGTCTGGCCATTCCATCTGTTTTCAGAAATGCATAATTAACACACAGTCCAGACACAGATTCAGATGACATGTAAGCCATTCAACACTCTACTCTTCCAGGATATTTTTCAAAATGCTCTGCTGAATCTTACATCCTACTGGAGTTCCATCTAGCTACATTATGAAAGAAAATTTGTAAATAGCTGAAAAAAGAACCCCAAAGACTTCTTGATTTGCATCACAGCTAAAATATGTAATTAGAACTCAATGATCTGATACTCTAATGCAGCTACAGGGGAAATGACAAAATCCAGATGTGTGCCTCCAAGTGCTATCTTGGGGGTGAATAAGACTATCTTCAAGATCTTGGCGGAAATCATGAAGAATAAGTACAACCCCGCTAATGACTATTTACTCTCTTCAGCAGCTGCTCTTTAGAACTGGATGTTTCATGTTGCCAAAAGATGACAGACATTGGAGTGGAGATAAACAATTCTATGTCTACTTATTTTTCCCAGCACATAGAATTAGGGAAAATGACCCAGAAAATCATGGAATTAGCAATTCTCATTGTTCAAATGTTAACAAAAGTATTGTTATAATTATTTTACATGTTATTGTAGAAAATTTAGAAAACAAGAACATTAAAAAAATTGTCTATAATCCCACCATCTACTGATAACCACACTTTCTATACTTTCCTGCTACTCTCCTTTTATGCATAATTCAAATCATTTAAAAAAAATGTTTACTGTGTTTGCACAAGTATCCGGTTCCAGGAAAAAAAAAATGTGTACCTTCACCTGCTTCTTGACATTCTTTGTTACTGTGACCAAAGCAGCATGGCCTTTGGAGAATGGAATGCTGGAGAAATTCGGAGCTTATCTGAGGCAGCAGGTAGTTACATAGGTACTTTATCAATGTGATGATTTACCTACATAATTCCTTGTTTTCCTTCCTCTTGTTTTTACAGGAAAGAAGAGGTTAGTAATGCACATTCTAAATGAATTCTAATGACAAAGACCACAACTTCTTCTTTCCTTTTTTTATTTTGATCGTTTTTAGTAGTTCTCAAGTACGATACCATGGAGTAGTTTAAAAGGGCAAGGCAAGTAAACTGTTACTATTAATGGTTAAATGATGAATGTATGTGAACGTCTCCCATTTTAATAAGTCAGAATGGATGAACTATACTTGCCATAACTAAAGTTCTGTTGTACTCTCTGAACAGCAGTGATGGGAGAACGGAGTTGAAATGAGCACCGTGGATTTGAATGGACCGTGAGCATACCCGTGGATGGTGACATGTGTACAAATTTCCCACTTCATGAGTATCCCCTCAGAAAAGAAAAGGAAATGTCTGGTGTCCGATACCTCCCCTTTCTGTCTTTGTAAGGGCAAGTACAAGTTAAAAATAAAAGGTTTAATTCTACCTGTTGAACATAAGGGAAGAGACTCCCCCCTCCTCCCTTTTCTTTCAGCACTTACTTTAGAAATTTTACTGTCAATTCTTTTTTTGCCCCTTTGAGATGTACATAAATCTTTTTAAAAGGCTAAATAAGCCTCTGTCCAGTGTTACAGCACAGGGATGTTTTCTTATGGACCTGAAAGATGTCTCTTCAAAATAGAACCATCATGGAAGATGGAATGCTCCCATGTCTCAGTTGCTGTGGGAGGAGGAGCCTAACTTCCAATGGGTGCCTTATTCCAAAAACTACCTCCTGTTGTAAAGATAAGGGAAATGTATCTTTGCTTTAGAAAAAGCAGTTAGTAAACACAGATGGCCACCTCACCAAGGGGATTTAGGATGAACTCTGTTGCCAAATGGTGTGGCCACCCCTCCCAGCTGACAGCTAGTTATCATTCTTCTTAAGAACTTGTATGGGATGTGTTGTATCTGCTTGACCATTTAAAAGGGGGAAATTTCTTCTGTCTTTGCCATCGCTATAGTGGATTATGTGCGATGTGCATCACATTCTAATTTAACGGGTATTCAGTAATAAAGCTGCTTTCTTTGTCTTTCTCTGCTACCTTCATGGAGGTAGACAGGTGTTATCAGCTGAATTACGTCCCCCTAAAATTCATATGTTGAAGTCCCAACCCTCAGTACTTCACATTGTGACTGTTTTGGAGATAGGGTTTTTTTAAGTGGCAATTTAAGATGATGCCATTTAGCCACAATTGGGTGGCTGTAATCCAATTTGCCTGGTGTCCTTGTAAGGAGAGGATATCTGGACACAGACACACACAGAGGGAAGACCAAGTAAAGATACAGGGAGAAAATAGCTATCTACAAGCCAAGGAGAAAAGCCTCAGAAAATACCAACCCTGCTAGTAACTTGATCTCAGATTTCCAACCTCCAAGAACTGAGAGACGATAAATTTCTATTGCTTGAGTCACCCAGGCTGTGGTACTTTGTTACAGCAGCCCTAGCAAACTAATACAGCATGAGAGTTTGTTCTCAACTCTAGTTCCCCAACACCTTCCATTCTTACTTCCTGCCCTCATTAATTCTTGCCTTCCACAAATATTTACTGAACATGGAGTATTAATTACTACACAACATATTCTGAGCTAGGTTCTAGAGACATGATGTTTAATAAAACATAGCCTTTCTCTCATGGAACTAAAGATGACGGGAAGAGACAAGCAGCGAAATGAACAACTATTAAGTGTGACAAATGAAACTGCGAGCTTCATTCACCCCGTTTTCCACCACATCTTCAGTGCTTCGATCCTAGAATGATCCACAGTGGGCACTAAATTCCCTCGTAAATGTTCCTTTCTCCTAGAGGTGATTTTTGTTATCCTAGCCCTGAGCTTTTCAACCGGTAGCATGAACAGCCTAGTGGAGCTGAGGGAAGGAGGAGAAAAAAATTAACATTTTCCTGGAACTTGTGCTGCCTATTTCCTGGAACAGTGGGTCCCTTTTCCTCTTAGTGAAAGGTCAGTTGGCAAATGGCAAGGCAACTAGCAAGGAAGAAGGGAGAAGTAAAAGAATT